CCCTAGGGCAGTGACCACAACGAGCCTCCAATCACATCCTCTGCGTGGGCCCACCCCCTTCTCCCAGCACTGGGCCGCACTGGGAGCCCCAGGCCAACATCCCTCTCCAGCTGGTCGTGGCCTGCCTACCCGCACGACCACTGTCTCCAGGACCCGCCTGGGTGCCACAGGGCCCAGCGCCTACCTGCAAAGGCAGAGGGTAAGCCGAGCAGGTGGGCATGGCTGCGGAAGAGCAGAAGCCGGTGTAGGCCAGGACCTGTTGGGCAGGGTTGTAGAGGATCTGAGGTGGCGAAGATGGGCCGAGGGCCAGCTGTGACAGGGGGACCTGCGGGAGAAGGGGTGGTCAGCACTGTACCACCTGCACCCCGCCTCAGGAGCCCTCTCTGCAGCACCCACAAGGACGGCCCGCATTCTGACACTGCTCGGACTGGAGGCACCGCTGGAGGCCGACGCCCCAGGGGCAGCCAGGAAGCAGGGAGGAGGGCTGGAGTGGAGCACAGGATCCTCAGTGTCCTGGGAGTGGAAACCTGAGGGGTGGGGGCCCAGCACAGGTCTGAGGATGGCCAGGCTGTTCCTGGAGATGGCAGGACCTGAGCTCTGGGACAGGAGCCGGGGCTCTGCCTGCAGGCTGTGGTCCCAGCTGGGCCATGAACTCAGGGCACTGGCTGTGGCAGGGACTTGGCTTCAGAACAGACAGACACCCTGAGAGGACAGGACAGAACAGGGCCAACCTGGGCTGCTCAAGGGCCAGGCCAGGGGCTCAGGAGATCAGAAGCTCACAGGGCCCTTCCCAGAGCTGGCTAGGCCGGGCCTTGCGTATGGTGGCTCTGGGCAGCCCTGAATCCCACGTGACTCCAAGTAGCTTTGAGCTGTGCTTGGCTTCCTACAGGGGTGGCATGGCCCTGCTTCGTGGGTGAGAGGGTGAGTTGAGGCCCCTCCCGTGAAGGCATAGATGGGACTGCTGCCAGGGAAGCAATGAATGCCGGCTATCATGGGAAAGCTGTGGAGCCCTTGTGGCCGGCACCTCCTCTGTGCATGGAGCCCCCGACTGTGTGCTGTTCATACACAGGAAGACGCCACTCACCATGTCCTTGAAGGCCCCCAGCACGGCAGCTGTGACAATGCCCACGCACAGGCCCAAGATGTTCAGCACTGTGGAGACCCAGAGCAGCCGGTAGAGGTGGACCACGTCCTGACAGCTACGCACACCCACAAATTCGTAGTAGGTGGGGGACAGCTCTGCACTGCACATGGGAGGGAGAGGCAGTGTCATCCATGGGCCTGGGTACGGCCTGACAGCCACATCCATGGCCTGGGTGAGGCCAGGTGATCACCCTGAGGGCCAGGGCCTGCTGGGTGATGGCCCTGCTGTGGTTAGAGCTATGGCCAGGCAGCCTTGTGTCCTGGACAGTGTGGGACAGGGGACAAAGCCAGTTAGCACCGAGCTCTCCCCCACATGGCACAGCCTCTGAGGCAGAGCCGGCCCTGGTTACCTGCCCAACCCTAACCCTAACCAGGCCACAGAATGGCACTGAAGCCAGGCCTTGATTTCCCTGTGAAGCCACACCAGGTGAAAGCTGCTGTCCAGCCCTCGCCCATCCTGGCAGGGATTCTGGAGGTCACCTTGCGCTCTTGGCGTGGGGTGCTGGCAGGAGACACACTGCCCATCCTATTCATCTGAATCTCCACTCAGACAGCCTCTGATGCAGGTACAGTGACTGCCTTGGAGCGCAATTGCACATGGGAGCCGTGTGCCACCAAACACCCTAAGCTGGCAGCTACCCGAGGCCGGGCCTGCGGCCCCCACCAACCTGACCAGGCCTGAATGGCATCACCCAGGGCTCAGGTCCCAACTACCCAGGGAATGTGAGGGGGCGATGCTGTGGACCAGCTGGGCTCCCCAGGACCCAGGAAGACACTGCCCAGGCTGGGCATGGCGGGGCTCTGGTTCCACAGCAGTCAGCCTGCTCAGGTCGCGGCAGGTGTCCCTGCAGAGCCCACGATGGCACACAGAAGGGGAGCACTCACTGCCTGAGCGGCACGACCTCCTCAGTCTGGCCAGGGTCCAGGAGGGGAAGGCCACAGGCCACGCAGACAGGCACAGAGACCTCATGGCTGGTGCACACACAGCAAGTCAGCCCTGCGCCACTGGTGCCCTGTGCTGGCCTCTGTCCCCTCCCGGCCAGCCAAGGCCACACTCCTCAGTGTGGAACCCACTGGTGAGGTGGCCGGGCGGGACAGTGACTGAACCACCCACTCCTCTTCATGCCAGGGGACAAGCAAACACACGGTACTCATGCACCACCTTACCATGGGAAAGGGTGTTGGGGGGTCTCTGCCCGAGAGAGGCAGGGCCACCCTGGCAGCTGTCCCCAGCAAGTGACGGCCAGAGGCCAGGGCAGACTTAAATCCCTCCCCAGCCCATGCTGTGTGTGCCTTGGAGATGACTCAACCTCTCTGAGCCTCCAGTTTCCCACCTGAGAATCCTCATCAGGGCTGACAGAGGGGTAAGAGGAAATGGCCACAGAGGCTGTACATGTGTGTGTGCACATGCTGCACAGTGTGCATGCATGTGTGTGTGCAGGTGACACACAGGGAGCCCTCACCTGTTGCACGTGTAGAGGTCACAGCAGTAGCAGGTGTTGCTCCTCACCTTCAGCTGGCACCTGCCCGTCAGGGAATGGCAAGTGACCTGGGGACAGGGACAAGAGCACAGTGGGGTGGAACCTATCTCCCACCACAGGGGCCTCAGGCCAGGACCCTCCTGATGGGGCTTGTGTGCAGCCCACCAAGTCTTCCCCACTGCACAGGTATGGGATGCCAGACAGAGCCATTCCTGGCATCTCACTCTGTTAGAAAGCAGGCAGAGCCACGCAGTGGCTGTCTGCAGCCAGAAAGCGACATGCCTTCCTGACAGAGCCAGCAGCATCCCAGAGTTTCTTGCAGTGATTAAGCCAGTGAAAATGCCAATGGAAGCCAACCGAGCTGGATTGACAAATTGGAACACTGTCAAAGAAGCAAGTCACAGCTGGCCAGCACAGCCACAAATGGGTGCTGTGAATGTCACCACCCATGGGTGAAGACAGGGCAGGAAGATGTGTTAGAACAAAAGCAGTCACACCATGACCAGACAGGCAGCAGTGGGACTGGAGTCAGCTGAGGAGAGGCCAAGGGGCTCACCTCAGTCTGGTAGATGTCATACAAGTACCCTGTCCTGCTGGAGTAGAATTGGCACCTTCCCATGTTGAGGGGTCTCAGTTCCTAGAAAGAAAGAAGCACAGATGGACGGACTCACCATTCCCACTGCAGACCTGCCTGCCACTGGCTCAGACCACAGCATGGAAGCCAGTGCCACCTGGAGCCATGGGGCTCCTGCATCCGGGAGGCAGGGGCAAAAGTGTGAGGAGGGCTCCTCTGTCCACCAGGTAGAGCTGACACATCTCCACTGGTCAACCTAGCGAAGAGGAGGAGGTGGTCACCTGGCCTGCTGAGGAACAGTCCACAACTGTACCCCAGATGCCTGGGCTCCTTCCTGTCTCTTCCTAAAGTGAAACAACATTCTACTAGGACAATAGCAAGGATTCAGACTAATTCATTCCTCTAGTCAACAAGCCCATCCACCCATCCATCCATCCACCTATCCATCCATCTCTACACCCAGCGTCCACATATTCCCATTCATTCATCCATTCACCCACACGCGTCCATATGGCCCGATCCATCCACCCATTTATCACCTGTCCATTCAACATCCACCCACCATCCACCATCCGTCTGTGCACGCCCATACTGTCCCATCCGCTCACCCACCATCCCTCCCTCTGTCCCCCACCTTCCAGTCACCCATCTACCCGTACTCCTCTACCCACCCACCCTTCCATATCACCCTGTGCAGCCGCTCAAACACATGCCCCTCCCTGTGCCTATCGTCCACCTGTAGCACTCCCAGAGCAGATGCAGCATCAAATGATGAGGATGCTGAGACAAGACCGAACTCTTGCCTTGGGTGACACACAGACCAGTGAATTTCAGGGCCAGACAGGGACCTCGTGATTTCAAAGTGTTTGCAACTGCTGGGACAGAGGACACAGAAATTAAAGTGCCATAAAACCGTGTCATCTGTAGGGGCGCGGGGACCTCAGTCTGCATGTATTTTATGACTGCAAGAACTTTGGTCTCTTTCCCAAAGCACTGCTACTGCTGGCCTAAGAGCAGGGCTGGGCATCCACCGTCCCACGTGGACACTGCCCCGAAGGGCAGGGTGCAGTGTCACTCCTGTGTGGATGCCCCCGGGGGATGCCGCCCTGGGGAGTGAGTGCCATACTCACCATGTGCCGTGCTGCAAACACGCTGTCCACGACGGCGCAGCAGAAGGCAGCCACCACCCCAAAGCTGATGAACACAATGGCAGCCACCAGCTAGAAACGGAAGAGAACAGAATGCTGATCACACAGGTCAAAGTCCCAGCCTGAACCTAGTTCCCTGCAGAAAGTCGCCAGCTCCCTCTGTCTCTCTCAGGACACAGGCCTGGGACAGGCCACCCCCGCCAACTTGCCCATGGGGTGCTCTGTGTACCTTTCTACATGGTGTTCCCTCAGCCCCCATAGCTCCTGAGAAGGGACCTCAGCCTCTGCTCCTGTCACACGCGCGTGAACATGCACACACATGTATACACATACAGTATGCACATTTGCCTTTACAGTAGCTGCATCCCCTGGACACCCTGGACAGCCTGTGTTTAGTGATCTTGGAGCCAGAAGCAGCTCACCACTGACAAGACGGCTGTTTAAACAGTGTGCAGGTTCTTCTCCCTGTAAACTGCTGTGCAGCCTCTAAACATGGCCATGGAAAAACAGTGGACCTGCACATGAGCGTGTCTGTGGGATCGATTCCTCCAACGCACAGAAACACGGCGCTTCTACAGAGGACGTATTCAAGCCCTTTGCACTTTACAATCGAGAGTCCAATAAAAACGCCAGGTCTTTTGGGCATTTCCTCCTATGCTGAATGACATTTGAAACTATTGATCTTTTAAGGTCTGACAATCTGATGGACAAAAACCCCACCTTATTTCGAGTTGCATTTCTCTAAATATTAATGATGGCGGATGCCTTCCTCAAGTCTGTTGGTCACTTCTTTACATTTTTAGAGCTTTCCCTGTGAAACGGTTCCAGATTAACCAAAACAAACAGGAAAATAGTTCCTAGAGCCCCTGTTTACCTGCTGCTCAGCTCCCCACTCCCAGCACCTTCAAAACCACACAACAACCTCCCTGCATCTGGAAGTCCTGTCCCCAGCAGGGAGCAGCTGGTCCTGGAGGCACATGGGGCCGCATAGAGGTGTGAGGTGCGCCATGTCTTCGGCTCAGGGCCCCAGGGGCCCGACTCACATTGCACAGAACCAATATCTCCCTGCGGTGCTCCTCCTGCCCCAACCTGCTCTTCCAGAGATGTTGGCACATATCTGAAGCAGAGCACACTCTGAGAAGGCTTCCGTGCACCCACCTCAGCCCTGTTCCCCCAACCCCACTGACCCCGTGGGGACACTTGCTCTTTCGTTCCTTGGCTCTGTGGCTTTTACATGGAACTCTGTTATGGTTTATGTATAGATGTCTCCCTAAAGTCTCATGGGATCATAGGCAGGGATGTGGGGAAGTGACTGGACCACAGGGGCTGTACCACGGGTGGATTCGTTCCCTGATGAGTTTATCGCTGACTCGCTGTGAGGAGGCGGGGCCTGGTGGGAAGAGGCAGTCACTTGGGATGATGGCCGGGAAGGTTCCTCTCCCTCCCGGCTCCTCCCTTCTCTCTGCTTCCTGTCCCCCATGCCCTGAGGAGCTCTCCTCTGCCGGGCCCCTCTGCCCTGCCATCCTGCCTTAGATCCAGCTGCTTAGCCACTAAACTTTTACAACCGTGAGGCAAAATAACCTTCTTCTCCTCTGAGTTGTGGTGTTGAATATTGTGTCTCGGCAACAAGGAACATGACGAAGCCACATTCCCTGGACACTCTTTGACTTCCTTCAGGAGTCCAGCGCTGCACCCACGCTGTGGGCTCACCTGTGGGCCTGGGCACTCTTGTGGCTCCTTGGAAGGTTGACTGCCACTGTGTTTTGCTATGGGATCATCTGTAGGGCAGGCGCCTGGACCTGGCTTCCTGGGGTGCATAGGGGCTTTGCTGTGTGCCCCACAACCCTCCAGGAGGGTCCACAATGGCAAGCTCACAGTCACCCCACATGGCCATGCTAGCAGAGTTTTGCTGAGGTGCTGGTGAGAGATAGTGCTTCAGTGAGTTTTAGTTTGCATTTCTGCAAACTAAACGTCCACCGTGTGATTAAGGGCTTATAAATTACCTGTTAATTCCCTGTCCTCTTTAGGGTTTGGGGGCTCTCGTCCCACACACATAGACACATACAGATGGATGTGATAACTCTGTACACAGACAAATGCAGGTGTGCATGTATGCAGGAGCCGTGCGCACAGGCACACATGTGCAGCTCTCTTGGTTTTGTGCTCTGCATCTCCATCTCTGACCGATGACCTGGTGCGTAGTATGAGCTGTAGACTTTACTCTGTCCCCACTGTTGGCCACAGCTGTCCTGGCACACAGGTAGGAGGGGTCTTCTCTCAAACTGGAGATGCCAATCCCTATCCGAGCCACTGCAGGAGGAGATGTGGTTCCTAGGGCTCACCTGTGGGAGGGGGCTCCCCGGCTTTCCCTGTGTGTTTGCCTACACGGACTCTGTTGGCCACGTGTCCAGTGTCACTCAGAGTCCGGCTGCAGGGCTGAGCTTGAGGCACGCGCATCCGTCCTGATCTCTGCTGCTGGAAGGGCATGTCCTCTCACCTGCCCACACCCATCAGCAGCAGTGGTGCCCCTCTCGTCAGGCTGCTCCTGTGCCCTGGACTTCAATGCAAGGTGAGCAGGGCCTTCTCTCACAGTGTCCTCCAGCTAGGTGCTGTGTGTGTGCACATGTGTGCATGCACATGCACTCTGGGATGAGTGTCCATCTCCATGCCGACTCCAGAGTGGCAGAACTATGTCTAGGTATGTTGGGGTGCCTGTGTCCTCCTGCCCATGGGCCCCAGAGATGAGGGATGAGGATGTGAAACTGCTGCAGCAGCCAGTGGGACTCGATCCACAGCACAGGACACCCCCCCGAGAGTGATGATGTGGACTTGAAGTGGAGGCGGCCCAGGACCACACCTTGGCTGGCACCCAGTGCATTGCCAGGACCTGGGTGCGGGTCACGGTCATAATGGTCTGCCACGGCCTGGCAACAGCTCGAGGGACAAAGATCTTTAAAATGCTAAGAATACAATCATCCCGAGCCCAGATGGAACCGGTTATGTGTCCTGGACTAACCAGGGTGCATGCGCTTCCACCTTAGGGACAAACTTTCTCGACGCCTCTGTCCCCGCACTGCCCCTTTCTTTAGCATCAACTCAAGGCTCTGCCGGCCTCCTGCATTCAGAGCCCTGGCCCGGGCCTCGCTCCTGTCCTGCCCCAGGATGGGCTGGGTCCCAGAGGCCACACGCTCTGGGAAATGGATTTTGACCTGGCTCGGGCACCACAATCAGAAGAACCAGCAGCGACTGGCTGGTGACACACTATCACATGCTTCCGCCTGCGTCCCTGACAACCACCCGTGGACATGGGGCTGCATGCTGCATCCGAGTGCTCACAGAGTCCTGGTGGCTTTGAGCCATGTGGCAACTCCTAAGCAGATGCACTCCGCGTCCAGCCTGGCCTGCTGCCCTCCCCACGCCCTGCTGTCCTGACTTCCCGGCAGCTGCCTTGGAGCTGCCAGGGCCCCCAGCCTCTCCCTCCTCAGAAATCTGGGCACTGTGACGTGGGCATCATATTATCCTGGTTTATTTCAGGAGACTCACTTCGGGTGTCAGCAGATGTCCTCTCCAGGGGCTTCAGGGTCTCAGGAGATGACCCTGTCCTTACCCTGCCTCAGTCTACTGGCTGGGCATTGGGGGCTGCCACCCCTCAGCTTCATGTACAAATCTCCCCCAAAGCTGAGAAACCACACAATAGCAAGGCCTTGAGGCCCTCAAACTAACACCCAAGGGACAGAGAGGGCAGCTGTCCTGGCCACAGCCCAAGCCCCGACCCCTTGTAGGGAACGTTTTCAACCTGTAAGTTGCTGCTTCTCAGTCCCGTGGGCTCTTCTGTGTCAACGCTGGAGGATTCTAAACCTTGCTCCACAAGGGTTCTGGAGTGTCTCTATGATTGCATGCCTGTGTGTATACACATGTGTGCATGTGCGTATCTATTTGTGCATGTGTGTTACACCCCCGCAACTGTGCGCATGTGTGTGCCCATGTGTGGGTGGTGTGTATTTACATGCCTGTGTGGATGCACCTGCACATCTGCATGTGTTTGTATTCATGTCCATTTGACTGTGCGTATATCTGTGTACATGTGTGTGTACTGTGTGTAAGCGTGTGCACATATGGGTGAGGGACTCAGCATCTAACACACTATCTTTCCAATCCTGGCCGCACGTGAGCAGCAGACCACAGCACTGTTTTGAAATTGACGACCACGGGCCGGCGAGGGGTGAGGGTCCCAGACCAATGTGCAGAGGTCAGAGGCTGACCCCATTCAGGGCTGCCCGGCCGTCCCTGGAGCTTGACAGTCATGGGCAGAGGCGATGGAGGAGCCGTTCCCCATTGCCAAATCCCACCTGGAGCCCATGGGAAGCAATTTCAGCTGCGATGAGTCTGCACCTGGGGTTGCCTCCCAGTGTCGAGAGCGAAGGAGAAGTGGTGGGGTGGAGCAAGCTTGGCCCTGAGCGCCGCTGAGCAGCCAGCCCAGGCTCAGAGGCTCATGCAATCCTGTTCACCTCTGCATATGCGCACAATTTCCCACGCTCTAAGATGGAAAGAAAACAAGGGAAAGCATTCCCAAGCGTCTGGACACGTCTAGGTGTGATGATTTCCTCTGTAGCCGGTGTCGTCCCTGCTGGATCCTGGCCCCTCACAGGAGGAGGCGGCCGCCCTGCAGACCCGTGGGCTCTGGAGCAGGTATCCCCACGGTTCCTGGAGGAGCTGTCCATGGCTAGCCCTGTGCTGGACACATCCCGCGTGCCCACCAACTGCTCCCTAGCCCACACGGCAGCAGCTGGGGCTCAGGATGGTTCCGTGTCCCTAGGTCGCACAACACTAATGATCACCCTGGCTTCAGCTGCCAACACCAGTCTAAGGTCAGAGTGAGGTTTGTTGTGTGGAGTCAGCCCAGATGCTGCCCAGGAAAGGTGCGGGGAAGCAAGACAAGAGTGCACATGGCCCACCTCAGGCTCCAAGGACCCAACAACCAACGGAACCGTCAGAGGTAGTCTGGCTGCCCAGGGCTGCTGCTGTCCCCTCTGGGCTCCTGCTGCCCATTGTGAGGCCGATGTTCCATCCAGCAGATCTGGGACCTGGACCAGCCCCACTCATCAGGAGGGGTGACAGTGGCTTGTAGTTGACACCCCTGCCCAGCTTACTGGCAAGTTATAAGTGGCACAGGCTTCTTGGTTCCCCACAACTGGGCTGTATTATATTAGGTGTCTGAACAAAGCCTACATGACTCATATGGGCATGTCAGATGGCGGACAGGTGAGCAAAGCCCCCCTGCCAATGGCTGTAGCAGAGACCTAAGCTCTGGTCTGTGAAGATACAAGGCCTAGATTGAGATAACATCACAGCTGAGGACAGTGTGACTCCAACTAAATTCCTTTCCCTGAATTATGGCCTCCCTCACTGACCTGATGGGTTAGTGGTTAATTGCAACCCAGTCCTGGTCTTCTTTTGTTTCTTCTGCAGGAATGCACTGCCTCCCTTTTACAGCCTTGCCTGCAATAACTGCTATCATACACCCTGCCCTATTTCTTCCCACACTTGTAATCAACAAACACTGGAGGTCTTGGGTGCTTTTTGTCTTTGCTGCCCAGATCAGTGCAGGCAATCCCAGATCCCTGCCCTCTGTTTAAGTATTGTTTCTGTGTCTCTCTCTCCTTTGCCTTGTGTTGTGTTGCCTTGCAGGTGATCAAGACTCTCCAGTGGGGCCTTGATAGGGGCTGAGATGATGTCCCCTTGTCGGCAGAACAACTGCTAGAAACAGTGAGTGCAAAGCAAGGTTCAGGCTGAGAGATGAACCCCAGGCTGGTGGCCACAAGCAGCACAAGAAAAAAGTGAGGAGATGGTGCCCCCAAGAAGAGCGAAATAATCAGGAATGGGTCTAACAGAGGAAGCATGAGACTCCTCTGCAACTCCACCGCACTAGTGAGGGGCGCTAGGGAAGAGGCCAAATGAGAGCCACACTTCCTGTCTCAGCTCCCGCTGTCCCTTGCCATGTGGTGCTGGCACGGGGAGGGGCACAGACCATGGGCAAAGCCAGGAGTCAGAGATAAACCCACAGCTGTGTCTGCCTCGAAGGAGACAAGGGCTTCTCAGCAAATAGTGCTCAGATAACTGCACAGCCCAGAGAATGAGCACGGGTCCCTACCTGCACTATAAAAATAAAAAGTCAAATGCCTGACAGAGAAGATTTAAAGCTGTAAAAACTACAGGGGACACAGATAAATCAGCACAACCTTGGGTTTGACAACTGACTCATGAAGGTTATAACAAAAGCATGGAAAAAAATGTGTTCATTAGACTTCAACAAAATTGAAAACCACTGTGCTCAAAGGACTGTGACAAGAGAGTGCCAAGATAGCCCGAAGAACAGGAGAACCTGCCTGCAACCGTGTGTCTACAAGCGATTCATGTCTAGGGTATCAGAGGAACTCTGCCAGTGACGAAAAGAGAAGCAATCCAAACAAGACCAAGCAGAAGATGGAAAGACATTTCCCAGAGAATGGGAAGATACAGGAAAACATGTCTTGGGCCACGAGGACACACATGCCACCCTGCATCCGGGCACTCTGCCCAACCTGCTTGGCCCCCGTGGCAGCTTCTGTGGGACCCGTGTGAGGGGCACCTCAGCCTCTATGCCACGGACCCAAAGGTGCTGAGTGCTGCCCAGCCTGGGCCCCAGGAGAGGCGCGTTCCCATGCAGCCAGGCGGGGAAGAGCTGGGCCCTTTCCCGACCGCGTGGCAGGCCTGTGCTACCTGGCCCAGGGGCTCCTGCACCCACCTCGGAGGAGAAGCCCACCCTTCAAGGCCTCAGGCATAGTCGCTCCACCAGGACAGGGGTGGCACCCAGCCCAGAGACAGCTTCCTGCTTCCTTCCATGCTGCAGGAAGCCCCGGGGCTCTCGACCAGGACGGGATGGGCAGGGTACGGGAGTCAGGGCTCTCTGGGCCCACACATCACACCCTGGTCACTCCGGGCTTATGGCCCGGTCAGGTGACAGCCGGCAAGGGCCCAGCAGGATGGGAGCTGAGGGGGGGGACAGGCAGCCGTGGCCAGCTGCACCTGGAGCTGGCTCTGTTCTGCCAGCAGCAGCCCAGACCATGCATCCACTCAGCAGATGTCGAGGGAACTACGAGCGATGCCCTCGCTGCCCACACAGGGCAGCGGAGCCTGGACGTCCTAGCTGTACTTCCACTGTCACAGCACAGTCCTCCCTGTCCGCCCTCCTCTTTCTGTCTGGAAACCCTGAGCATGGCCCAGCACCCCAGGACACTCACTTAGACTGAGGTGTCCTGGCACCCTCCCGCCCTGGTCCAGCTGGGGAGACAGCTCCTTGGAACCCGGCGGTGATTGCACCCCACCAGCCTTGGGACAAATGGGTTTTCTTACCATCTGTCTTCTGTTCTCCACCAGGTGGATGCCGATGATTCCCAAGAAAGATCCGAAACCCAGCTGAGACCGAAGAGAAACAAAAGAGGAAGGTTCTGGTTGGATGCCTTCCGACAAAGACCAGCAGTCAGCCGCACCCTTGGACCCTCCGTGCCCCGAGAATCCCCTCACCCCGAGATACACTCACTCCTGCTGGGCTGAGCTATCGGGACCGAGCCCCGGCACCACCAGGACAGGGTGTCCCCCGGGCCTCTCTGAGGGACCCAGAGCACCACCTGCGCATCATTCTTGTAAGGACAGCTGCGAAGGTCATGCACCGCTCAGTCAAACCCGCCGTAGCACCCTGCGACACAGGCACCAGCTCTGGGCCCAGACCTGGGGCTGGAGGAGGAGGGGAGCTGAGCTGGGGCAGATGTTCAGCGGCTGTCTCTGAAGGAAGGGTGGGGCTGGTGGAGAGTTACAGCGGGGACAGCCTCTCTCAGATGCAGCCTCCGCTGGCTGGGCCAGCGTCCGGCCAGGGAACTGCACTCAGGGGCTGCACTCGGGCAGCCTGGGGCTGCTGACTCGAGCCCACAATCGTGTCAGCCCCAGTGCACGGGGAGTCAGCCCCACAGCCCAGGGTCACTCCTCAGTGGTCATGTGTCCGAGGTGACACACATGTACACATGTGGCTCCCACGCATGACATGGGAGTCCTCAGTGGTGAAGATTACAACCTCCTCAGTGCTGAGCTTTGAGATTCCACAGCTCATGAATATCAAAGTCCAAAAAATGCTGGGCGTGGTGGTGCACACCTGTGATTCCAGCCTTTGGGAGGCTGAGGCAGGACTGCTAAGCATTCAAGGCCAGCACGAACTATATAGTGAGGCCCTATCTCAAAAGAATCAAAAAGTAAATAAATATCAAAGTCCACCCAACATGAATGTGCTAAACTATTTTGTCTCACTGCATTTCATATTCTTTAATTTGAACAAGATCTGCTTTGCAGCATGGTGGTGCTCGCTCCTGGGTCTCCCCCAGAGGTGGGGGTGTCTCTGTGAGGGACAGACACAGGCACTGCAGCCATGGGCCTGTGACTTAGGACTCAGATCCTCAGGGAACCCATTCCGTGAGGAGTGAAATCTCAAACAGGTGGAGTTTGAGAACAAACAGAACCAGCAGCACAGGAGGGTGAGCTTGATATTTTGCAAATACTTCAGGATGAGGCATCTTTACAACTGTTAGCTGTGGAATTCCAGGGCTCCCTTCCCACCCAGAAAATATGACCAAAAAATGGAGTATGAGCCCAGTGCCCAACACGCACTTCACACAGTGGTACTGGAAACCTTTCTCTGAAAGATGCTATTTGCCTGTTTATTCCTGAATTAAACACAGAGAACCATCTAGCAAAGTATGTAGGAGTCAGTATAAAGAGAAAACAGACAACACTTGTGGTAAGGCTTTCTTCTTTGTTTTCTTCAGACAGGGTTTCACTGTGTGGCCCAGGCTGGCCTTGAACTCATACCAATCTCCTGCCTCAGCCTCCTGAGTCTGGGATCCCAGGCGTGTGTCACTGATCTCTGCAGAACATGTGCAGGGGCTGAGGGCAGCTTTGTCAGCACTGTCTGCCCCTGTGGGTGGTGTCAGCGAGAGCCACGGGGAGGTGGCCTCATTTCAGAATGTCCTGGTCTGCAGCCTGTGACGGAACGCGCAGGCTCAGTGCCCCAAGACCATTTCAACAGAGCTCGCCAAGGCGAACTTCATTACGGCCAGCAGCGGTGTGGACTCAAGCACAGCCTCCTGGCAGCATGGAGCTCGGTGGTGCAGACGCTTTCTGACCTGACTCGGCAGGCCGCTGTCGCCCCGTCGAGCTCCCCTTGGTCCCGAGGCGCTGTTACTGTGGACGTATCTTTACCCGGAGCTCTTGGCAGGAATCTTGGGATGGGGCTGGGGGTCTGGGAGGCTCCCCCCGCCAAGCATGGAGTGACCCCAGCCTGCCCCCAAGCCCAGGCCCTGTGCCACCCGGCCTCCTGGGCAGTGCAGGGTCCCGGCCCTCGGTGTCCCCTGACGCAGCCTTTTTCTCATCGCCGAGCTGAGGTCCGGTGGGGGGCCCTGCTCTGCGACACAGCGTCCCCCACATGGAAACCGGAGCCTACTCATCCCCCTAAGGCCCAGGACTCACAATGATGCCAGGGTAGTAGCCGCCCACGGTCACGTTCTCTGTCCTGGTGGTGGCAGCAAGGCCGACGGTCAGGATGAGGATGGACACCAGCAGCAGAGACCCCACAAACCACAGGGAGGTCCGCTTCCTCCGGGCGAGCCCTCCTGTGAGGAGGAAGGGCTGGAGCGCCAGTGTGACGGTCCCGGGGGCCTCTCCCTCAACATGGCACCGCGGGGCTGGCCTCTCGAGACCCCAGGCTCCTCCTCACCCAGCAGACGCCCAGCCTTGGAGGCCCCCGACCCTGCCCGCCTTCCTCCCTCCCCAAGACCTTGACTTCACCTCCCTGCGTCCTGAGTCTGATTCCTGCACAGCCCATCCTGGGAACACTCCCCACGTCTGCCATGGCCCCAGGGTGATGTCTTCTGAGACTGCTGTCACTATGGTGCCACTGAATTCACCATGGGACATGCATCCTGCCCAGACCAGGAGTCAGGTGCCTGCAGTACCCATGCCACAGGCAGTGCCGCCTCCCACCTCCCAGACCGCCAGCCCCTGGTGCCTCAAACCCTCTGCCCCACTGCAGGAACTGAATTCAGTGTTGGTCACTGAGCCCCCACTGCATTCCAGGCACGCCCAGCACCGACACCACATGCGCATCAGGGAGGAGCCTCGCCCTACACCCGGGCAGGGGCCCAGGGCAAGGCCTGTCCCACCCACACACTGCCAGGGCCTGGGAGGGTCCTTCTACCTCATCCCCAGCAGCTCTGGGCCAAGGAGGGGCAGCCCAGGGTCGGGCTGGGAGGAGGGGGAGGCTGAGCTGGCAATCTGCTCTCAGGCCAGCTCCTGGTGTGGACCAATCCTGACTGGAGGGGCAGCACTGGCCTTGCCATGCTTGGGACTCAGGAGAGCATGGTGGGATTCTTAGGAACTTCAGCCTGTGGCCCTCACCCTGCCCTCTGCCTGGAAGAACATAGGAGGGTGGAGCCAGCAGCCACCTGGCCACAAGGGCCATGAGAGACTTGGGATGGCAGAGCAGAGGTGCCAGAGCAGTCGGGCAAGGGAGCAGGACCCTGCACTGCCAGCCACTGCTCTGACGGCCCACCCTCCAGTTGCTGCAGCCACAGAAGCAGGCAGGAAAGAACCTCATCGCCTGTGTCCTCCTCCACCGACCCCTCCCCAGGATCTGGGCTGGGAGCAGCTCCTAAGAACTCTCAACACGGCCGTGGCCCTCAGACACGCCTGCCACCTGCTGCCACAGACAAGGGCCACACAGCTGGGCCGGCAGGAGAGGCTTCAGCCCTCCGACCCAGCAAGGGCTTGGGCCAGGGCTCTCAGTCAGTGCTCTGTGCACATGTGTGTAAGCATGCACGTGTGCACGTATGAGTGTGCATGTGTGGGCAGGCACTGTAAGAGCATGTGTGTGCGCAAGTGTGCTTGTGTTGTTGTGCATGTGTGTGGGCTGCACACATGTGGATGGACTGGACTAGAGCATGTGCACATACGTGTCATGTTAAGTGGCACACGTGTGTGAGTGCGTCAGCAGCTGGACCATGACAGGCGGCACCCCAGCACTTTTGAAGATTTTTCCTCTGCACCCCAGTGCTCACTGAGGTCTCCGCTGAGGTTAGGGCAGCATTGAGAGGACAGTGCCCTGAGGTAACCCACACATCGCCCTAGGGTTAGGACTGGTCCACCCTGCTGGCTGGGACCCTGGGCACCGCTGACCTCGGGAGCCCAAGCCAGGAGGATCCAGAGCAGAGACTGTGCCTCTCGGCCCCCAGGCCCAGGCCCAGGGCTCAGCCAGGAGACCTCGGTCCCCGGGGGGGTGAAGCCTGGCCCCACTGGGGCGGCCCTGACCTGCCCTGCAGACCCATGGCATGCGTGCACTTTGCCCTGGGACATCGAGACCCCACTTCCCCTCACAGAGATTGGAAGTAGCTGAGCCGGGGGCCTGCCTGCTCGCTAGACCTAGACCCCAGAGCGTGTTCATTTAAACGTGGTAGCTGGGTGCACTCAGGAGACCGAGGCAAGAGCGTGCTTGAGCCCAGGGGATCGAGCCCAGCCTGTGCAAGACAGAAAGACCTCATCTCAAAAAAACAGTGCCGGACACCTCTGCAGGCTGCAGAGACAAGAAACTATCCTGGGGTGGGCAGGGCTGCCACCAGCCATCGGGGTACCTGAGTCCTGATTCACAAGCCGCACCCAGAGTGACAGGCAAAGAAGGAAGAGATAAAACACCACCACCTTACCCAGCCATGCTGACGTTTGGGATCTGCTAATTTTTGCTTATTATTTTTTGAGACGGGGCCTCACTATGTTGCCCAGCCTGGCCTTGAACTGGTGAACTCAAATGATCCTCCCACCTCAGGCCTCTCCCTAGTGGGGATCTCGGGAAGCCCCTGCGCCTGGCTTTGAATCTTTTAACAAAAGACCAATGCCAGATGTTATGCCCTAAGTCTGAAAGTTCCTTACCAGGAGAAAAACTAAGTCATCTGCTGTAGAAACCGTGAAGTCATTCCAGTACAGCCACAGTAGTGCTGGTTGGCAAATAAGTAGTAATCAGACACTAACAAGGCAACCTCTCCTGGAGGATGACAGCGTGGAGCGAAGCTGCCCACAGAGCACCCTGCTGCAGAGGCTGTGCAAAGGAAGCTGGACTCCCACCCTTGTCTGATGGCAACCACTTTGGTCTCCGCAAGAGATTTTCCCCAGGTCCTTGACAAGGCTGCGAGGCAACACCCCATTTCTAGCATCGCTTTGCCACTGAGCCCTGGGTGTCACCCTGGCTCCCGGTGCCTGCAGGAAAGGGCTTCCTGTTTTCCCTGCCCCGCTGCATTTGGGAAATGGACAATCTGATTCCGTGAATTGATGGTGAAGGGGGCGTTCCCGAAATAAAACAATGCCCTAAAACGCTGTAAGCACCTCTGCCACTTCCAAGCAGGAAGAAGCTACTTGGGCTCCTGAAAAGGACACCTCCTTGAGCACCAGGTGGGCGGGAGAGCAGAGGTGCTGCATGGTGGCTCGCTGACAAGCAGGGTCTGTCCTCGCAGGGACCGCCCTCCGCTGGCCACCCGCGTCCCCCCCAGAGCTGTGCCACTCACCTGTGGTGTCCAGCAGCGCCAGGGGCGTGGGCACAGGGGGCGAAGGCGGCTGCATTCCGTCTGGGAAGAGGGTGCCCAAGCCTCCTGGCTGCGATGCTCCCTGTGTGACAGCAACAGCCCACACGGTGGCCCCAGGAGCTGCCCGGTGGCTCCGCCCCTGCTCCACCCCTCTGCCCTCCAGGCCCCTCCAGCCCGGGCTCCTGGAAATGAGAATGTGCAGGCAAAGGGACGCAGTGAGGAGCAGACCCCAGGCAGAAGGCACTGGGGACATGCTCATGGCCATGCTGCCCACCACGCCCTCCCTGCAGTCCCCACAGGCCAGCGGTGCCCGGTGGAGCGCCCTTGCAGGGCCCCGAGCTGGCTGGGTGCCCCTCATGGATATTATGTCCCTCTCTGCTCTCAGGGGCAGCACGTGAAGCTGTGCGGAGCCCTCTGTGTGTCCCGCAGCTGCGCTGCTCCCCGCTCACCACTTTGTACCCGCCAGGAGACTGGGGTGAGGGTGGGGTGAGGTCGAAGCAAAGTCTGCGGCAGGAAAGGGAAAGAGAGAGCTGGAAGGAAGCGGGCTGATGGGCACTCAATCTTCGGCCAGGCATGGTGGCACACGCCTGCAATCCCAGCCCTTGAGAGGCTGAAGCAGGAGGCTTGCTAGGAGTTGGAGGCCAGCCTGAACCACACAGGGAGACCCTGTGTCAAAAAAAACCCCCAAAAAACAAACACAAACATCCTGTGTGGGCTGAGGTGTAACTCAGTGGTACAGCACCTGCCCAGCGTGCTGAAGCCAGAGTTTCAACCCTAGCACCGAGAAACAAACCAACAAAACCTTCGGAATCAAGGATATCAGCAGCCACTCACAAAACAAGGTGCAGAATGACCAGGGAACCTGCAGAGGGCTGGTCTCCCTGGGAGCTGGGGTGCTGCTGGAGACAGTGAGGCAGACCGTGAGAGGCCAGAGGACAGCCATGCTGATGAGCAGGTGGGATGTGCCACAGTGCCCTGGCCCGGCACACGCCCCCGGGGCGCAGCATTAGGGAGACTCGAAGCAGACCCCAACTGGCCAGCACATCCCCCAGGACACTCCCAGAGCAGGCCTGGATGCGCACCGCAGAGGAGGGAGAGCGCTGGTCCTTGGCTGCCTGTATGATCATCCAGAGATTTGTTCTTAACCCCTGCTGCCCTGAGCCCAGGCCCGTGACTCAGAATCTCTGGGGATGGAGGGGTGTGAGGACCCGTCGTCATCACCAGGCTTCTGCTGTGACAGGGGCTGCATCTTGGCAGAGAGGGGCACATGAAGCTTTCTCCGTGGCTCCAGCAGGACAGCAGTCCCCGGCAGGGTGAGCACAGCAGTGCCCGCCCAGGGCCCCACAGGCTGGGCCTTGACTGCCTCTCGGATGGTCCAGGAGGGGACATGGACAGTGCCCACAGCACCGAAGCAAGTGCCACGGCGCTTGTGAGTCAAAGAGCACTAGGGGAGACGGTGCTCAGCTTTAGCCTCTCGGCCGTTACCCTGTGTCCTCTCTGTGTGCAACACCTGCCATGTATCAGGACGCATGGCAGAGCAAGACAGACACTGCTGGGGAGACGAGGAACACGCAAATAAGCAGGAAACAGTGTGGCCGCCACACTTGAGTGTTCAGACATGGCTGGAATTCGTTGGAAGTGTGGTCCTGGTGCGCGGACGTCGGGAGCATCAGGGTTTTCAAAGGAAGAAGCACAGTTCGAAGTGGCCAGGCCCCTGAAGCCCATGCCCAAGCACCTCCTGGGCCCCGCGGCTCCACGGAGCAGCTGGCGTGGCGGGCAGGCCGGCCCTGCCCAGGCCCCAGCTCCCGTCCCTCCTCAGGGCCCCACCTCTCTCTCCAACCACACCGCTCCACTGCGGGTGCCTCACTCCCCGAGAAGTTCTGCTGAGAGCTCTGGTCCTCGGTTTAACCCAGACTCTTCCAAAAGGTCATTTTTTTTTGGTACTGGGGATTGAACTCAGGACCTTGCACTTGAGAGGCAGACAGTGAACCACTGAGCTAAATCCCCGGCCCAAAAGGGCCATTTTTTAAATCACAGCTTTGGGTGGCTCGAATGACATACAACAAACTGCCCATTTTCCAAGTGGAAACTCGCCGGTTTGACCCACGCCCACCCTTGAAGTCAGTGTCCCAGATGGTGAGCTCGCCGCCACCCTACGTGTGTCTGTGTCCCTTGTAAGCCCCCCCTTTGCAGCCCCCTTCCCCAGTACCCATGATCTACTTCCTGATACTTGGCATGTTCTAGTGTTTTATGGAAACGATCCTGCAGTGGGCACTATTTCTGGTCTGGCTTCTTTTATCACAGCTATCTAAAATCACGCGTGCAGTTGCTTTGTCAATAGTTCCGTTCCTTACTGTGGAGGGTTTCAGGTAGAGATGCGCTGCAGTTGGTTTACCTGCCGACCCAGTGAGGGCTCTGTGCTTGTGTACGTGCCTGTCCTTACACGCTGTTTGGTGGCACTGTGTGCACAGCTGGCCTCCCACAGCAATTGGAAAGTGCGGAGGAGGCATGTGGCTTTTCACATGCTTGTGGACCTTTGCAATGGCTCGTTGGCTGTCAGCCTGACTGGACGAGGGGCACCGAGGGGCACTGCCACCTCTTGGAGGTTCTGGGAGGGTGTTCCCAAGAGGCCAGTGTGTGGTTGGTGGTCCGGGTGGAAAGGATCCACCTCAGTGTGGACACCGCCTGACAGCCTGGGCCTGTGCAGGACCCAGCAGTGAAAAGGAGAATTCTCCCTCTCTCTTCCAGAGCTGGGACTTCCTTCACCACCTATCCTTGGGCTCTAGGCCTTGGAGTGAGTGCTGCTTCCTCCACCCCTGGTTCTGAGGCCTTGGGACTTGGACCTACTACCGGCTTCTCTGGGCCGCCAGCTGCCAGGCACTAGAAGGTGGTGGGAATCTCAGCTGCCATGAGCACATGAGCCGAGTGCCCCAGGAAATCTGCTCTTCTGTGTCCATCCATCTACCCACTCATCCACCTACCCACCCATCAGTTCATCTACAGTATTTATCCAGCTATTTATCCAACGATCACACATCCATCATCCATCCATCCATGCACCCATTCACGTACCTGCATATTTACCTACATATCTATCTACCCTACGTGTCCCATCTCTCTGAAGAACTTTAACTCAACATTCTTCTTGAAATTACACCTGAACTTGACAAGCGGTAGTTTTTGAAAGTTTGTTGCATAAATGTAAAGTATTGTACACCTAAATGTACCAATGAGAGAATTTAAGGGAAAAGAGGAAAGCTTGTCACAGTGCGGAATCTGGAATCAGAACAACTTTCTGCACCCTTTTCATACTGTGAAATCCACTAGACTCTCTTGGATTCTGAATGTATCCTTTGCCCACAGGAGGGGTCAAGATATCATCCTTCAGTCACTGGAAAAAGTCCCGGGAAGCTGTCGGGCTCGGGGTGGAGAAACAAGTGTTCCAAAAGCCCTGTCATCACATGGAAGCTCACACTGTTCTCACTGGCAGCCAGGACCTCAGAGGGGCAGGCTCACATGTTCATTCTGAGGAAATGTCGGCCCAGCACCCCTCCGAGGAGCCAGAGTTAGCCGTCCTCTTCTGCCGAATTAGAGCCTGTTCCCGGGTCGGACCCTGCCCGCCAGCCCTGCGGGTCTGCTCAGATGCCCTGAGCCTGTGGCCGCAGGTGACGTCGGCGAGGCTCTCTGCTGCCTCGGCCTTACTGAGGACTTTCAGAAGTAAAGCTTTAAACCTCGACTGCCGGGCACGAAGGGCACAGCAACAGGTGGTGCTCTGCCTGGACCAGAGCCCGAGTGCCAGCTGCTCGGCCACCACTGACACTGCAGCGCCACACAGAGGTCCACTAGGTGGAAAGGGCAGAGAATGTCAGAATCGCAGCCACGTGCCACCGACAACGTCCAGGTCAACAACAGCCGGAAGCTCGAAGCTCGGGAGGTGCCGCAAACAGAGACGGGGTGCCCGCCTCCGCAGAGCAACGTCACCAGCGCCCAGCACCAGAGCGGGTGCGGTCCCCACCTGTCTGAGGACGCGCAGGCCTGAGCAAGGTGGACTGTGGGAAGGCACGGTGCATTTGAGAGCGTGCAGTGGTCAGCGCCCAGCGGGCCGGAGATGGAGGGGCTGTCGGTCCAAGGACTTGCCGTGCTGTGCTTCCACTGTTGCTTCAGAGTGCCCGTCACACAGGTAGTTGAAGAGCTTCCCGAAGCAGCCTGCGTGCTGCACTGCAGAGCCGGGCGTCTCGGCTTACAGTGTCCATGCTTACAGTGTCCCCTGGCTCGGGCCCATCACGCCACCTGACAGCTGGCACCCCCGGGACCAATGGCTGGGTCTGGGTATTTTTAAAATGTAACTCAATTGAGCTCTCCCAAAAGGCAATAATGAGAAATGAAGAAATCTATCTTCTACCCGTCTGGAGATAACCAGAGAAGCTGGATGAATTATTATTGGCATCAGGAGAAAATGTATTTAAGTGCTCTCCTATACACATGCATCCTCCTGAACGCCACATTGCTTCCTGCTTAGCTGAACCACCTGTGTGTCCTTGTCCCTGCCCTGCACCCTACATGAACAGAGGCCCCAGGTGGCCGCAGGGACACTCATGGCCTCACTCCTCTGCTGAGACCATGTCTGTCCCAGAAGACTCATCACACCTGGCTGGAGGAAGACAGTGAACTTCGTCCCCAAACCCTGGGTCAGCCTCTGCCAGGCAGGGCTCAGAGACACAAGGCCCTGTCCTCCCCTCACATCAGCCTCTGGTGCACATGGGCAGGTGTCAGGAAGACTGAAGCAAGGGCATGGGGCTCCAGGCTCCGAGAGGACAGGGATTCACAGAGCCATAAAACAGCAGGCGTCAGCTTCCCCTCGGTCTGGGCCTCCTTCCCTGAGGAGGGAGCCTGGCGCTCAGGGATTCAAGGCGAGTGGACAGATGACTCCTCTGAAACCCGATCACCCGTAAATAATGCAGAGCAGGCAGCAGGGGATGGAGAGGCCGCCTGGTCTCGGTCTAAGTCTCATGGGACCATGAGGAGGGGAGTGGAAGTGAGACAGGAGACATTAATGCCCTTGAGACATT